GATCCAACCCACAACAGAATGTAGCTCACCTGTTGCTCTGGTTCTGTGTCTTTCAGGAAGCTCTTGAAGGCCAGTTCTGTTTTCTGCTTGAATTTCTTGTACTCTTCTACTAGGTCATCGGCATCCCAGTTCATGGAGGGGTGGAGGTGTCCGTTTGCTGCTGCCATCCTGGGTCTGTTTTTCCGAGGAATGCCTTGGCACAGTCTTCTCTCTTCCTCTCCCTCTTAACAATGGTTTACCGCTGCCACCATGTTGTGCGTTCTTGTCTATGGATGGCTATCATAGACGCTCGATTCAAGCAGATAGATCAGTCGGAGTGAGAGTCGACTAGAAACTTTATTCTACAAGTACTCCAGATGTTCTCAACTCTAATGTCCCATGATGCTTTGTTCACATATATTATGTAGGCAAGGCCCTTGTGGTGCATAGTACTTTTGCCTGATGATCTAGGTCATAGTATCTAGTACAATGTATAACAGGGGGTAACTAATATATTTACCTTTACCCTCTCCCGTGTCCTGGAAGATGCCGTGCTGATCTTAGGAAGGCCCAAGTACCAGTCTGGAAGAGCTGAAGGAATTAGCAACGGATAGGAAGAAGTGGAGGGGACTGTTGAGGAAGAGACGAGTTCTGTGCGCAGGCCACTCGAACGACTGAATCGAGGAGACCTCAACAAGTACAAGTAAGTAAGTACAGTCCCGTCTACGTGTGAAGACTAGGATATTTGGTAGGAGTGGACTGGAGGGGGAGGGGGTATGTGTCCATGATGGAATATCATCTCTTCGGTATTAAGAGGTACCTTTTATAGCTCACTGTAATATATCCCACGTGAATCGCTGCAAACATCACAGAACAAACGTACTAAACATCTACCATGCATTAAATACCGGCCGTTGCACAACCACGTGGTAACGCCACACACTACATCTCACCAGTAGCTTGTCCGGACTGATCGGGGGAAAACTCGGTCTCTTCGCGGGCTTGTCTGTGTCCATGGCCTCCGCACCGTCGTGTTTCCTCTTTCTCGGCGCCTTCTTCCCGACTTTGGTGAACTCTCCGCCGTCTTTCTTGGTATCTAAGTCCATTTTTAAGCCTTCTGAAGACGACTCTTTCGGCACACTACTAGAACTTGCTTCCGCCATGATGGCACCATGTGACGGGTACATCCACTCATATAGGAGGGGTGGTCGAAGAGGGCAGAAGTACTAAGGTTCTATTAAGTTGTTTTATTTTTCAGGAAAGAATCTTTGAGATGTATTAGAAAGTCTTTTACTTTTACCATGGATTAATTGAATAGAGATTGATTTCTTTTCTGATAAAAAACAGGTAAAGACAGCCCATCCATCCCCTAATTCTAATGGTAAAATCCAAAGGTTGACTTGAGGTCACCTCTGAAGTACTGTAGGCACATGTCTCCTAGGGTACACAGACACGCAACTTTTCACCTGTGTATACCTACGGCAAGAACTTTCACACAAACGTGGCCTTGTCGCCCGCATTTCAGTCCTTGGGTTGAGGAGTCGGTGCTGAGGCTGACGCCATGGCCTCGTGCCGTGAGAGAAGGCGGGACTCCGACAGCAGTCTGCTACTAGATGTGGAGGACAGGGAGGATCCTGATTTGGACAATAAGGACGAGGAACATCCTATAGAGTAAGTCACTTTGGTTATCTTGTGACAAGTGCCCCAATAAGTAGTGTACATAGTCTGGTTTTGATTTTTTCCTTTAATGCCTAAGATCATGATATATAATGATCATTCTGGCATAGTCATAATTTTTCACCTTAACAAAGTGAGAAAAGTCGTGTCAAGTGCCTTTCCCAAGGGCACAATGTTGGATTCGAACCTGGGACCTTTTGGTTCTGAGCCAAATGCTCTGCTGTTATGCCGTACGACCGCACGAGTCCAGCGGTTAGCGACCCTGCCTCTGGAACATTTAAGATAGTGATAAAGACATACTAATTAATAATAAAGATGATGATAAAGAATAAGAATCAGAAATAATAGATCAATGAACCAATTGGAATAATAAACTACAGACCAGTTATAAGGGAGCCCCCATGCCCTATCCCGTAGAGCGTAATCAGCCGTTTTTACTCTACGTAGAGCGTAGATGGACCACTCTAATTCAAGTCTCAACTCTAGAGCGTAGTTGGCACATTTTGCATAGAGCATAATTCGAGTTTTAATTCCACGTAATGCGTTGTAGCCACTTGGAATTTATTGTAAAGCGTAATCGCTACTGTAGAATTATACATAGCCGGCTCTCAAAATTTAGCGTACAGCGTAGTCGGAACCCCTCATGTAGGCCCTCTTATACGCCACTGGCCTAACGGTTTCAGGGTGAGTTATAAGAAGAGAATGGATCTCATTGCACCCAGCAACAGGGACACAGTGCTCGACTATATCAAGCCTTTAGGTATTTGAAACTTGTTATGATTCTGTGGTGCAACAACATTTTTGGAAAACACCATACAGTGCACTGTCAGATCTTGGTCAGATCATAATCTTATGCAATAAATATTGACTATCATACAATTGAAATCATGTATTCTTTACAGAAATGAGTCTGCGCAGACTGACGTATTTGTCCTGGGTACTTAGTCTGTTGACACAATCATTGACCTACATTCAACATCAAAATGGCAGAGTCAAAAGTCTGAAGTCCGTTTTGCTGTGGCTGAAAAGATTCTTATACTAGATTAACTCATCATCCATACAGTTTCAGGTCTTGGTAAATTGATATGCCCACTTATTTCAAACGAAGTGCAGAGTCAACAGAACTAAGTATACTCTTGATAATATCACTGTGCAAGATTATTTTCATGACCATTTGTTGTCACTTTGGATGAAGAAATATGGATTAATTCATTAATAATTTAATACAATTCCAGGTCTCAGTAAATTGATATACCCACTCATTTTAAATGAAGTGCAATGTCGACAGAACTAAGTGTACTCTTAATAATAACAGTGCAGGATTATTTTCATCACCATTTGCTGTGACTGCAAGTCACTTTGGCTGAAGAAAAGTGGACGAATTCATCAATACAGTTCCAGGTCTCAGTAAATTGATATGCCCACTTATTTCAAACGAAGTGCAACATAACTAAGTGTACTCTTAAATTATATTGATTGTTACAGTTGATCCTGTAAACCTCTCCAAGCCTTTCGATCATCCTTTAATACGATGTGCTTTTTTTTTATCTTGTGCATATCAGAATGTGATTTTGCCAGGCTTTGTATTGCTTACAGACCTCAGGTAGAAACGGCAACCCCGAAGCCAGGTAAAATTGGGACCGACACGCAAACTAACACTACGCTGAGGTATGCAGTATCACTAGCTAGGTCTATAGCCAGGAAGTCCAACTGTCCATTGGATGATTTACATGATTCTGATCACTGAATCAAATCAATGAAGTTGGACCTGATTAAACCATAATCATTGCTTTCATAGATCTGCATCTTCAATTGGAAAACTTTATTCAGACACACATGTACATATCTTGTGATGCTAACTTGAAGAGTATATACATGTGTAATGCTAGCTGTATATTGTATTACCTCTTAGATTAAATATTGAACTGAAAACTATTTGAATATGTACCAGACTTACAGTAAGTACTTAGTAGTACATAGCTAAATGTATCCTGGGGCATCCTAGGATCCTAAAAATAATCCTTAATTGATGGAATTTGTTTGGTGGAAAAGCTAAAAAGACCAATCAGACTCTTAGTTCATATTTGAATAAAATGAAATTCAATGTAATCACCAGATTTGTCCCGGACGTACATGATATGATATATGATAACAATGATGATCAAGAATCTAACAATTTTTCTGGACAACTAACAAGCAGTTGCAGCTCATTCTTTAACCTGAAGAATACCTGGTTGCTTAGTAACTCTATGAATGATTCTTACCTACATGTATTATTACTGTTCCAGGAAAGCTGCCCTCAACATGCTGTTTTGCAGACGATTCTGGAACCTTCTAAAGGTCATCTTCCCGAAGCTGATCTCACCAACGTTTCTCATGTTCTGCACACTTCTGGCTGTTTGTCTACTGGGTGAGTAACAAGAGTTTTGTTTTCAATTTATAAAGACTCATGTAATTTATTTATTTACTTCATCATAAAACAGCTGGGTAGCCCGTTCAGCTAGTAGAAGCTGCTTTCCAAAGACAGTGTAGAATAGAGTAGATTCATTCCTGAAGTAATGCGAGATGAGGACAAGAGGATATATACAAATTTATCCATGTTTAGGATTGCGTTCTCACTGCAAAAGTACCACCTACATCAGCTACATATATAGCGACAAGAATAGTACTCCAGGTGTCTGATAGACATCAAAATGTGAGCAAGGTGGGAGTCTTTGAACCTTGAACTGGAACATCAGGGATGTCATCACAGGAAACATGAGAGTCTTTACTGGTTGTGTAAAAGAAAGCTCCAATGTCAGAATAGAAGGATGATTTATTTTTTTTCTTTTTCTTTTTTTTTTCGACCTTTATTTAGCCTTGAAAGATTACACTTCGACCATAGCCGCTTTTCAAGTGCTCAAGGTGGGAGAGGCCAGGGGTCCCGATAACACAATAGCTTCAAGATTAACGTATTACAATTTCATTACAACTTACACTAGTCACAGCATCGTCTCTATGGTCCAGTCCTGATCAATTCCATGTTCTTAAATGCTGCCACTGAGGGTGCTATTCTTACATTTGGCGGTAAACTGTTCCATGTCGTTGCACCCGAGTACGCTATTGATCTCCTGTATAGCTCTCTACGGACCATCGGTACATGCAATCTGTTTGACATTTAGTTCTTGACTTGCAGTGAATGAGTGATTATCAAACATGCAAATGACTTATTATGTACGTATCGCCTCATGCATGATTACTGTAAGTCTCTTTAGATTCGCGGGGCCTAAAGTTCGCGGTTTCGGGAAAATGGACAATCCGCGGTATTTTTAGATTCGCGATTTCTCCTTGGCTATTTTTCAAAGAAAAATTTGTAAAGTGTATATTTAAAATAATAAAAGTTCGTGTTCCGGCATTTATCTCCGCGGCGCAAAAATGTGTTTCGTGCACCGCGCGAGACTGCCGGCGGTAAAGCTGACGATCGATCTGACGCACGTGTAAACAATTTTCTTTGT